TTCTTAAATTCGTTGTTGGATTTTAGAGAACATGAACTTGTACCAGACATCTAGCAGGCTAGGAATTCCTTCCCTGTATCAAGCACTTGGCATGAGGGACTTCCTTTCCTTTCCTCTTTTTGCAGTAGTTTATGGAACCTTCACCAACCTGCATCTCCAAACCATTTTATATTTTATTTTGAGACAGGGTCTTTTATGTCCTACCTAGGAAAGACCTCCCCGAACAGGTCATTCTTAGCAAACAACAGGAAACTGCTAGAAGGATTTGCCCTCAGCAAACAGAACAGATGGCCATAAAGAAAATTTAGGACAGGACCTACAATCCCCTGGCACAGGAAGGTCCAGGATTATCTACACAGCTGCACTGACCAGCCTTGGAATTTTGACCCCAAACATTCCACCCAAATTCTTCGGAATATAACCCCATCCCCACACCCTATATAAATTTAACGTCTCCTTTAGCCAGCTGCTATCACTTGTGATCCCTAGCCCTACCCCTGTCTGGGACCCAGACAAAATAAACCCAGCTTTTCTGCTCACATACAGCCTGTGTTTCCAGGTTGCTTCTTGTGCACTATTGCTAATAGTCCTGATAAGTCACTAAATTGCTTAGGGGAGATACCTTCCCTTTTTCTTTCACTCTCCTTGCTTTCCTTGTTCTCCTTGAAGGCTCAGCAGTCCTTCTGCCTCAGGCTCTCAAGTGCTAGGGTCACAGTCATGTACCACCATGCCCGGTTTATATCTAAAAATCTGCATGCCTCCCCCAGCCTCTTAACTTCCTCTCCCTATCTTTTTGTTGTTGTTGTTATTGTTTTGTCTTTTTGAGACAAGGTTTCACTAGGAAGTTCAAGCTGGACTTGAACTGACTTTGTAGCCCAGGTTGGCCTTGAACTTGCAGAGATCCTCTTGTCTCTGTCTCCCAAGTGTAGGGATTATAGGTGTGTGCCAACTTGCCTGGTCCTCCCTTTCTTCCCTCCTTCCTCTTTCTTTTTGCAGGGCTTGGGATTGAACCTAGTGTAATAACTCAGACCCCAGTATAAAATCCAAGGAAGCAAGAGACTGAAATTTGGGGAGCATAGGCTTTATTTAGGCCAGGCCTGGCTATGAGTCTCCAGGAGCCAATTTGGAGACTGTGCCCCAGAGACTGAAGGAAGGGGGATTTAAAAAGCAGAAGAGAGGGGGGAGGAAAACCAAAGAAACCCACAGAGCCCTCAAACTTGTTAACCCGAATCTGGAAACTGTATAGTTGTCCACTTAGTTCTGACAACATCGGGAGCCTTTGGTGCCTTTTGAGTTACTCTCATCCTGCAGATAAACATTATCTTAGAATAGCACATCTGCAATAACATTTGGAGAAGAAAGTAGAAAGTTAATTATCTTAGGACAGCTCATTATCACTAACAGGTGGGAAGGGGTCGAAAGTTACAAGAAGCTGAAACTTAAGTTTTCACAAGGATTTGGAACTTAACCGTTTTGGTGCATTAGGGTTAAGCCACAACATTTTCCTGTAATTTCTTTGAAGCTAAAGCACATTTTATGACAGACCACCACTGGGTCAGGAAGAGGTCACCAGAAACCCTTTATGGCCTAGCCTAGATAGATAAGGGGAGAGGGAGGCAATAAGGCGCCATACAGAACAGAAAACGGTGGTTATGTTTTTCTTTCTTTCTGGGGAGGGGGGTCAAGGTCAGGTAAAGGGTTATGCTAATAAGCAAATCTCCCTGCACACAAGCAAGTTACTTCAAACAAGTGTAAATTAGAGGGCCATCCTGGTTTTCTTTAGCTCTTTAGTGGAGAATAGAAGCGCCTAACAGTGATTAACAACCCTTGTTAGCTTGTTTTAGCACCACTTCTGTTGTTTATAGAGGGCAACAATGGTTAACATATCAGTTAGGTAAGGTTTTACAATTCTTTACAGAGAAGAGCATTGATTAATATATCAATTAGGTCATCCAAAGGGAAAAGGAAAACACATACAGTAAGCCCAGTTACAGGTTTTGTTGTAATACACATATAACGAAGCTATTTTTTCCTAGAGTACAATACTAGGATTTGGTGCAAGCTAAGTAAGTATACAGTGCTATACCCCCATCTTATTTTATTTATTATGAGGCAGGACCTAGCTAAATTGCCCACATCTACCTGAATTTGTGATCCTCCTGCCTCAGCCTCCCAAGTACAATAACTGACTTTTTTTTTTTTTTTTATCTTTTTCCTTTTTATTGGTACTGGGGATCGAACTCACGACCGCCTGCTTGCAAGGCAGGTACTTATGCCGCTGAGCTAAATCCCCAGCCCCCCAAGTACAATAACTGAGATTACAGGAGTACTTATAGCAGTGCTTCTGTTGTTTTCCAGGGGGTGGTTTTTAGGAGATGGGGATAGGAAAGGACTATTGTGTGTTTTTTACAGCAGCCTCCCTCCTAACATTAGCATCAAGCACCTAGAGAATGGCTGACAGGGAAGTAGCTGGGAGCAAACAGGAACCGGCCCTGGGGAAAGCCTTGGGCAGTCACTGAACAGTAACAATTCCTTTGGGTGCACAGAGAAGACAGGAAGTTCTGGATGGGTGTGTTGACAGCAGCTCTGGGAGAAATGAACCAACAGGGGCCCATTTCCCACCTAAGCTGCCTTAACCCATCCCTGCTGGCAGGAAGAGCTCAGGACCAGGAAGCAATGGGATCTAGAGCCTTGCTTCCCTACTGAGTCACCTCTCTCTGGGCAAGGGAACACCTGCCTGAGGTTTTGAAAGTCCTGGAAAACCCCAGCCACCCAGATCCCCAACAGGTTCTTCCTGGGACAACCCCTCTTTTAACAGGTTTCCCCTTGGCATTTCTAGTCTGAACCTCTTTAGGGCCTCTTCTTCTCCAGCTGGGATGCACCTGGAGGAGTAGGCTCCCAGACCACTGGCTCAGCCTGCCTGCCTAGATTCCCACGACAGTGGGCCTGGGACATGCTAATTTAGAGTAGCCACAGCTCATATTTAGTGACCACTTACTCTTTGAGTAAGAGTTATTATGTTGATTTTCACAGCAGGAAATAAGTACTACAGTTATCTGCATTTTATAGATGTGGAGCCAGAACTCAAAAGTAACAGTCCATGGTTCTTCACTGTCTGCTGTGTGTACAGTGTCAGGCTCAGCGGAAAGAAACACAGCATTTCACATGGGCTTAGAAAACCTAAGATCTGTACCAAGTTCCAGCCCGATTTGGGCTATTTAGAAAGCAAAAAGGGCTGGGGGGGGGGCTGTAGCCCAGTGTGAAGGCCCTGGTTAAATCCCCCATACTTCAAAATACATGAATAAATCTAAGATCTAGAGAAGATGAAAATCTAAGAGATAGAAAAGACAGTGAATGTAACACTTGACTTGATAAATGAGCAAACAGCCCTCTCCCATACCACAGAAAGATCATGAGACCCCAAACCTACACTTCTTTAGTGCCCTTTCTATAACTCCAGAAAAAGTCATTTTCAAGTGGGTCACGGTGATGTAGGCCTATAATCTCAGCTACTAGGGAAGATGAGGTAGGAAGCTCTAGGTTTCAAGACTGCTTACTGAGACATCACAAAACAGTCAAAGATTTATCCCGGCATGGTGTCGAATGTCTATAATCCCAGCACTCCGGCAGGCAGAGGCAAAAGAATTGTGCAAATTCTAGACCAGCCTGGGCTACAAAGTGAATTCAAGTGAGCTCAAATTGCATAGCAAGACCATGTCTCAAAAAAACAAAAAATTAAAGATTTAGCTTAGTGCTCTCGTTTCAACCTCTAGTGCCACAAAAAAACAATTAAAACAACAAAAATCCTTTCCTGAAATTTTCTCACTTTTTGCTTTTCAGTTCTTCATATATTTACTTTCTTCTTCCCAAATAGTGTGATTTGTTTCGGTGGCGGTGGTTGTATGGAATAAGGACTCAGGGTATTGGCACATGACAGGAGAGGACTCTATCACTTCCTTTTCTATTCCTATTGATACAGGGGAAGGAAACTTTCAACCCAGGTGTCGGTGCGAGCTTGTGTTCTCTAAAACTGAAGAATGAATTTTAGGAACAATGGACGTGAAGAGCAGAATATATTTATTGGGGAAAGAAAGTTTCTGTCTGAGAAAGACAAAGGGATCCTGGGTGGGTTGCTGAGGACCCTTCCATCTCCCTGGATTTCTATAGAACAAAACCACAAGGCAGGATGGGTCCAAGGTGGGGAAAACTGGAAAATCTTAAGGTGGGCAAGAGGCGAGACAAAACTATGGTCAACCAATAAGATCATAAGTCTAACAGCTCAGGTAAAAGCAAGTCCAGCAGCAAAAGGGCATGAAATAGAACAGGGGCTTTTTCTATAGAGGGCTGGTTCAGAGGCTCCTTCTGGCTCCCTCAAGGTGATAGACATCTATTTAGAATACCAGGTCCTGATGTTCACCGGGAAGTATGTGGGTACCTTTCTTTTGTCTTAGGTCTGGCACAGGGCAATGGTGTCGGTCTCCCCCACAGCTGCAAGGTATACCTTTAATAGTTTATCTGACTTAGCTGCCTGTAACACCACTATCTGTAAAAGAAATAAAGAGGCTAGATAAGGGAAGGCGAGGGAAGAGAGGGGAGTTTTGAAAAAGAGGGGTATGAGTGGAGGAAAGGAGAGAGATGGAGAAGGCCTCCCTGGCGGGGGGGCGGGGGGCGCTTGTAGGAGGCGAACGCGGGTTGGAGGGCGGTCTGCGCTACGCAGGAAGTTTAAGGCCCATTCGCGAAGCACAGGGAGGCCTTGTGCTTCAAATTTTTAACAAACACGAAAAGAGAATATTAGTAAAGGGGAAAGAAAAATTCCCGTAGGCGTATCAAAATCAGAAATCTGCCCCAAATCAGAAATGTGTGTACACCAGATTTACACGAAACCGCCGTGACCTCATCAAAGAAGGCCGCTCAGGCCTTGTGGGCCATCGCTGTGCCCTCAATAAACATGGCAGCCACTAGTGACGTCCACTTCAGTCGCCCACCCGCCCCGATGGGCGGTGCGCATGCGCGACGGCGGCGGCGAAGGGGCGTCGGGCCCACTTCCCGCAGTTGTCCGGCTGTGGCGGCCGCCGCGGCGGGATGGTGTAGTCGTCGCGGGAGGGGCGGGCTAAGCCGGCGAACGGGCTCCGGCGCCACGGCTGCGCGCTGAGGGGCCGTCGCCGCCCGCCGCGGGTGCGGGGCGCCGTCATGGAGGCCCGCGGGGTGCTGGACGAGTTCACGGCGCCCGCCGCGAAGGCGGCGCTGCTAGAGCGGAGCCGCAGTCGCATCGAGGGCCTATTCGGCGTGAGCCTGGCCGTGCTGGGCGCGCTGGGCGCCGAGGAGCCGCTGCCCGCCCGCATTTGGCTGCAGCTGCGCGGCGCGCCAGGCGCGGTGCACAGCGCCAAGGTGAGTGGGTCCGCGCCGGGCCCCCGCCCCGTGTGCTCCCTGCAAGGTGTCCCAGCCCGCGAGCAGCGAGGGGGAACTCCCGGAGCGGGGCCAGGGGTGGGGTGGGGTCGCGGGTGGGAGTGTTTAAAGCTGGGCGCGGTGGTGCATTCTGGAGGCCGAGACAGGAGGATTGCGAGTTCCAGGCCAGCCTGGGCTACGTAATAAGTGTAGGGCCAGACTCGACGTAGCAAGACCCTGCCTCAAAAAAAAACACAAGAAAAAAGTGCTTAAAACAACATCGTCTCACCTGTTCGTGTAATTTTCGAGTAATGATCGAATGACATTTAAACGGTGATTATAACATGTTAGATATCCTCTAAATTCTTGGAATGAGGCAGCCCTTAAAATCCACTAAGGTACCTTTTCTTTTATCATTTTTTTTTTAACAGCTGGGGAAACTGAAACTCGAAGTAGTGACTCACGTTGTGTTTAATGAGCATTTCAGACTTACCGCCTCAGCACTTCATCCCCTTCCTCCCCAGCCAGAAAACGGCAACAAAAGATGTGCCTTGTAGGGGAGGGAGGGTGCTAGCCTCCGAAGGTTCCGGTCCTTGAGCCTATGAAGTACATTAACAGAAAACAGGACAAAAAGCGTTTCCTTACAAGTACGTGCGAGGGTGTGCCCCGGCACAGGCGGGAGGAAGCCGACTGGCCGGAGGCTGCGCGCCGAGGGCCGGGGAAAGCTTGTGGGTTTAGCTGGTGGCTTTCGCTCCTGCCTTTGGTCAGATCTGGGAACTTCTGAGAAAGCCCCTCTCTGCATTTGCGTTTCTGAAACGCTTGGTCGGGAGGAACCAGCAAGCGCCGAGCGCAGAGAGAGCGTTACAGAGTGGTGTTTCCTGAGCACCTCCACGCCTCCTGCAGCGCCCCAGTTTCTCTGGGTTTCCCATTTCCCTCGCAGGGCATCCGGATTCAGAGACAGGGAGTTGTGCGTGGAGCCCCAGCTGATGCTCAGGTGCTGAGTGCTGAGAGAACCTCCTTCCCTGTGTCCTTACCCGACTTAACACTGCACAGTACTTGGAGGAGCGGAGCAGCGGTGGCTCCTGAGCTCCTTCTGTTTAACTGGAACATCTTGCTGCTGCTTTGTGTACCCCAAACAGGATCCTGTGCTGTATGATTTTCTCCACGCTCCATTTAAAACATTGTGGATGTTGAATCAGATTTGCTTTCCTGGGCTTAATTTCTTGTACTATGTGATTATTTGGTGGTTTTTGTTTTTTGAGACAAAGTCTTGCTGTTTAGTTCAGGCTGGCCTTGAACTGTGTACCCCAGGTGGCCTTGACCTTGAGGTCGTCCTTCTGCCTCAGCCTCCTGAGTGCTGGGATTGATAGTGTATCGCCATGCTTGGACGCCAGGCCTAGTTTTCTGATTTAAGAAATGAAGTTTAACTTCTTTCCCTTTTTTCTCCTCAGCTATCCAATTTCTCCCACTATCCAGGACTAACAAGGTTGACATTACTGAATTTTGTTATTTCACCTTAAGTCTTCTTATGGGGCATTCATTCTTCTCCTCAGCACTTGTTCTGCACTGCCTGCCTTCCATTCCTGTTTCTTTCAGTTTGGTTTGGCTTTTTTAGATAGTTTGCTGTGTATGTCTGCCAGGATGGCCTCCAACACTTACTGCTCTGTCTCAGCTTCAGTGCTGGGGTTGTAAGGATGGCCATGTTACCTGGCCTGGCTGGGGTTTTTCGTGTTTTCTTTTTTTCTATTTATTCTCTTTTTTGTGGTGCTAGAGATCAAACCCAAGACTTCACATATCACTGAGCCATGTTTTAATTTCTGTTGTTGTTGCTTTTCCTGAGGCAGGCTCTTTCCGTGCAGTTCAGGTTGGCCTTGAGCTTATGCTGATCTTGCTGCCTCAGCCTCCCAACTTTCTAGGCATGCACCACCACACCTGACTTGCCTTAACTCCTTTGCTCCCTGCCTTCCTGGGACCCTGGGCCTCCAGTTACCTCTTCACCAGTCTAAACTGACCCACAGCCCCATCTGATGGGCCTAATTTTCGGCCTCAGCAGCTGTCAGCTTTAGCCTGTACAGTGGTCCAGGCTGGGCCCTTGGGGTATGTTCCGCCTATGCCTTGTTCTTTCCTGGGGACACCCCAAGCCTTACAGTGCTTCTTTTGCATCACAGGAAAGCCCCACCCTTCCTGCCATTCCCCTGGGTTCCCGCTCTCTTGCTGTTGTGCCTGGCTCTCCGGCTGATGGGAAGGGGTGTGTCTCAGGGCAGTGGTAGTCTGTCACCTGCTAGGTTAGTTTGCTGCTGTATTACTCAGAATCCAGCCCTCCCACTTCCAAGGAATCTTTTTTCCCCTTTCTTCTTAGAGACTCGTGAGTAAGGATTGAATGCCCACTCAGGGCTTTTTTGTTCTTGATTCATCTGGGAGTTTGGTCACTTTTTTGGAGAAAGAGGAAACCATGAACTTGATTTAAAAAATTAGGGACGAGAGAACAAATTATTCAGCGTTACAAGTATTTTAAGTTAAGCTGTGGAGAAGTAGGCTTGAGGGGAAAATTGTTTTTTTTTGGAGACAGTGTCTCACTGTGTAGTTCAGGCTGGCTTAAGCCACTGTGTGGCTCCTGGTGGCCTCGAACTAGCAGCAGTCCTCCTGCCTCAGCCTCCTGCTGTTCAGCCCAGGAAGAGTTTTTAAACTTGCTGTTGAGGTCAGCTGTTTGTGCTCCTTGGAGGGTGTTACTTTTTTTGTTGTTTTTGTTTTACTGTGGTGCTGTGGCTACTTTTTTTTTTTTTTTTTTTTTTTTTAAATGTTATCTTTGCCTTTTAATGGAGCTGTCCCTTTCCTAGAGAGAGGCTGGTTGCTGGCAGCCTGCAGGAAATGATGAGCAGGAGGAGGTACTAGAAAAGGGCACAGGAAGTGACCCCTTTTGTTAAAGGAGACATTTACTGGTGGGTGCAGTGGCTGCCTCACAGTCCAGGGGGGGCTCTGAACAGAGAGAAGAGCGGCGGAACCCACATGCCAGGTGAAGGCCACTGGGCTGTATGCCATAGGCTTAGCTTTTGGAAGGGAAATAATGTGCCTGAGACCCTGGGTGGGATAATGTGGGGCAGTAGAAGGGACACTGTTCTAGGATTGAGTTGGATGCGGAAAGGGAAGTGCACCAAGAGTTTGCCTGATATTATTTTTGAGACAGCACCTCCCTGTGTAATTCAAGACGTTCTTGAACTCACTGTAGTCCAGGCTGGCCTCAGACTCACAGCAGTCCTCCTGCCTCAGCCTGCAGCATGCTGGGGTTATAGACGTGAGCCACCCTTGTGTGGCAGTGGCAAGATCGGGACAGGGACTTGGAACTGAGTAGTTGTAGGGGTTTAGGAGGGCTTTAGACTCCAGTGGAAGAAGGTTACTTGCTGTGATGTGCTTGGCTTGTTGGTTGAGGGGCCACCAGAGGGTTGCCATTTAAGGAAAATTTCCCACGTGCTGGGAAATGCCCCTCTACTGTGGTGAGTAAGGGTCCTGGTTTCTGTGATGATGGAAATTCAAACTGAGGCGTGAAAGTTCAACACGAATTTACAGGAAGCAGCTTTCACTGGAAATGAAGAGAAAGTCACAGAGATGTAGCTGCCACCTCAGAAAAGAAAGTAGAGGCTCCAGGAAAGGGTTTCTTGGTGAGGACCGGGCACGTGTGAAGGGGAGGGTTGGAGCAGGCACCGAACTGTGGCCAGCGTCTTCCAGGGCCCATGGCCACTGGGCTGTGGCTGGTCACTGCTTTAGACCTGGTTGGAGCCCTGCAGCTCAAGCACAGGTGGTTCCCTCTAGAGGCTCTTCCTTGCTTGTCAGCTGACCCCTCTTGGGGTGGCCAGGAAGCTCTGCTTTGCCTGGATGTGAGGGATGGTAGGTCTAGGAAGGGACCGGGGGCTTTGGGCATTGCTTCAGGGTTCCTGGGACTGGAAGTCTGTAAAAGCTGGTGGCTGAGTGTCCCTGAAATCCTGCAGAGCCAGGCTTACCTTGGTGTCTGCAGCCTTGACGGGGTGAGACACTCTAGGTGAATTTTGAATAACAAACCTTGTAAACAGACTCCCAGTAATAAAAGAGACTACAAATGAAGCCAGAGCTTATCTTGCTGTTAGTTGAAGATCTGCTCTTAGTCCTGACTACCTCACCAGAAAATAAGTCATATAGTTTCCTTTTTTTTTTTTTTTTTTTTTTTTTGTAATTGTATTGTGTGGTATGTGGGTTGGGGATGGAACCCAGAGCATTTGTACTGGGCTACATTCCCAATCCTGCCCCATTTTAAAAACTATTTTGAGCCAGATTTCACTAAGTTTCCTAGGCTGGCCTTGAAGTCCTCCTGCCTCAGCCTGCAGTGTTGGGATTGCAGGCATGCATCCTCATGCTCAGTGATACCATACTTTAATGAGAAACTGTTATGGTCCCAGGAGTTTGTTGCCCCTCCCGTGGTCTCCAACTATGTCTGAACCGAACAGGACTCTTGCAGCAGCTGTGTAGAGGGTGCTACAGTGATTAGCATGAGGAGGAGGGCTTATGTTACTGAGCTGGCTTATGAGGGAGCACAGTCTTGCAGAGGATGGTGGCTTTCTGGTGGTGGGAGGGACACAGGGACAGAAAAGCCATTTCATTGGATCCCTCAGGTGCAGGGCGAGCTAGTGTGTAGGAAACGCCAGAGGGGGAGGGGCTGGGCCATCCCTGGGCTGGGCTGTAGCAGGCGGGCAGCACGGAGAAGGGCAGCTGGATGGCACACCTGCACAGCGTTTAGCGAGCACACTTCTGGGCTTGTGCTCCCTGCTGCTTTGCCTTGCTAGAAGTACAGAAATGGAGTGGTTGGCAGCCTTTACAGCAGCCTGGCATTACTCGGGGCTGGGTTTGTAAGAGCAAGAGAAAGTCCTGTGAGAGCAAGAGAAAGACTGCTGTGAGGGCAACAGGGGATGGCAGGGAATAAAGAAAGACTAGAGACATTGGTCAAGGTACAAGGGGACAGGGCGGAACCTCCTAGT